TCACCTATCCCCCATCTTTTTTTTTTGTTTTGTTTTTTTTGTTTTCCCTCCCGGTATCTGATTGTCACCTATCCCCCATCTTTCATTCTTGATTACTGAGAAGTTGTGTGAGAACGTCCTTGGCAAATGCTGTCGCAGAAGTTTGTCGTCCATAAACCCTAAACCCTAAACCCTAAATGCAAGAATTTCAGCGCTGATAATGGAGCACGAATGCCACCGACCGTCTCTACGAGTCCATGCTAATCTTCTCCGCATTGTTTGCAATTTTGACAGATGTCCCCAAGGAGGGCTGTCCTTCTTGGTGCTGTTCTTATTCCTGTTCATGGATTTCCTGATGAGCATTTTCCTCGTTCAGTCCCTGGTCTGCTTTTTTAATGAATTTTATCTGCCTCTTTCTCGTTCTGTCCCTCCATCTGGGTTTCCGTATTGCGTTTCTGTCCCTCCGTCCTGGTATTCGTATTGCATTTCTGTCCCTCCATCGTGGTATTCATATTGCGTTTCTGTCCCTCGGTCCTGGGTATTCATAATGCGTTTCTGTCCCTCCGTCCTGGTCTTCATATTGCGTTGCGGTCCCTCTGTCACAGTGCGTCCTGGTATTCACAGTGCGTTTCTGTCCATTGTCCCGGTATTCAGATTGTGTTTCTGTCCCTCGGACCAGGTATGCATTTTGTGTTTCTGTCCCTCGGTCTGGGTATTCAGATTGAGTTTCTGTCCCTCCGTCATACTGCAATTTTGTCCGTCCGTCCTGGTGTTCATATTGCGTTTGTGTCCCTCCATCCTGGTACTCATATTGTGTTTCTGCCCTCTCGTCTTGCTCTGTGATTGCCATGGGTTGGAGAGATTTTCATTTCTACTATGGTGGCGGTCATTTTCTTCCTTCCTTGTCCCTCTCTGTTCTGAAAAACGTGTTCCTCCCCGCCCCTAGCGGTAAATACGGCCCTAGCGGTAAATACGACCCTAGCGGTAAATACGACCCTTGCGGTAAATAGGACCCTAGCGGTACTTTAAAGGGCGGTAAATACGACCCTAGCGGTAAATACGACCCTAGCAGTAAACACGACTGCTTTAAAGTTTAAATCAGCGCTACCTTTCGCAGGCAAACTCGAAACACCGAAATGGCCTCCACCACATTCTTCGGGTGAACAGTGCTACCGGACCAAGATGGCTAGCGGTGCCTGCTGAAAAAAAAGGAAAAACGTCTCTCTGGCACGCGTCCGCAAAGCTTGGCGCACAGTTCTTTTCCGCCGTGGCAGAAAGACACGCTCGGAGGTAGTGGTGGTTTAAAAGAGGTGCTCAGTCAATTGTGCTTTTCTATTTTGGAGAAGGAAACGGTGTCTCAGCTGTAACAGCAACAACTCAAATGCCCCTTGTTTTTGTATCGCCCGCCTACCGGTAGTTCTACTTTTTTTTTTTTTTTTGGGTATCATATCTCAACTTATCATATCGGCCGAGCTGGTGTGTCAGCTCGGTTTCAGAAGCATCGGGCGGCCAGCCCCTCCTTGGTCACTATAGTATAGATACGTGTACTGGAAATTTCGGGTTTGGATCTTTCTTGCAGACATCAGCATAATGACAGCCAACTCACAAGGGACTCAGCAGTGGAGGAACATCAACAGTTACTATGCCTTCTCCATTGTAAACTCTTTTGTCAAGTGTTCATTCTTTTTAGTAAACTCTTTCCTTGATTGGTAGATGGTTTCCTTCTTTTAATAAGTACTATTGTGGACATTGATACTTTGGCAGACATTCTTTTGTTCTTCAAACTGTGGTATTGTAGGCATTGTATTTTTGTAGGTAATTCTGTAGGTATTAATTTAATTCAGATTCCCATCACTTGCAGTTGTCTTTGGGATTCTTATGTTCGAGCCTGTATAGGCCTTTTGCTACAGGGGAGGGGCTCCACCTCGCAGAGAGGGACTGGAGAGTCGGTGGAGACCTAGCGGCGGAGCCCCTCCAGTGAGGCGGAGCCCCTCCCAGTGAGGTGGAGCCCCTCCCCTGTAGCCTGAATATGGAACGTTTTTCACAGCATGTATGATTGCCTTGGGCACTGGGCCCTAATAAATGGAAGGACTTTTTTAGGAAAAAAGTTCAAAAAACAAAAAAAAAACTTTCCATGGCTCAGGGGCCAGCGGACGCAATGGCTAACGGCACCAGTCAAAACAAAAAGAAAAGGAAAAAAAAAAAGGGAGGGGGGGGGGCAAGTACGTTGGAGTTACACCCAACGCTCAGAATAGCCAACTTTTTTTTGGCGGTTCGCAAAATGATGGTGCAGACCCCCCTAAATTTGCCAAGTGCCCCAGTGTGGGTATAATGACTGCCGCAGTTTTAGACCCCCGCTAAACTTCTTGCACATTTGGAAACTCGCACCATGACACCGACCCCCACTTTGTCTGTTCTTGCCTATTGCAAACTAAAAGTGGGTCACAGCCACACCCCCACCCCCACACACACCCCCGCACCACCCCACCAAAAAAAAAAAAAAAAAAAAAAAAAGGTGTGCTGCTGGCAGTTAAAGAAAGCGTAGCGCGCAGTGCGTATTTACTATTTACCATTGCAAAAGGCAATGGTACATAGGGAGTATTTACTATTGCAATAGTAAATACTAAATAGTATTTACCATTGCAAAAGGCTGGTGGGAGTATTTACTATTTACCATTGCAAGTGACTTTTACTATTTACTATTTACCATTGCGGTTCGGATGTACTAGTCCTTCCTTTAATGTGTGTCTCGTTGCTGACAATCGCCACCCCTATAATAATGTTTGCAAGCCCTATAATAATGTTTGCAACGGCCATAATAATGTTTCTGATTTAGCAGACACTGCACTGTGTCTCCACCGTGGTATGGTTCGACGGTTAGCATGCACACGACACAATCTCTGCTCCGCATGCTCAGAAGGGGGTGGGTCACTACCAGCCTCTGCTGCGAAAACTGTGACCCATCCGTCGTCTTGCAGCGCACTCGTCAGAAGGGGGTGTGTAACTACCAGCCTCTGCTGCGAAAACTGTGACCCATCCGTCGTCTTGCAGCGCACTCGTC